GCCGTTACTCCTGCTTCAGGTTTTTGTTTCTTCATCGTATTTTAAGATCATACGGAACTCAATCCTTTGGCCGGTTACGGGAGCTATAGGAAATAATTCATAATCCATCGATTGACTTGTATTGGGGCGATGTCTGTGCGATATGCTTTACTGCAACTGACTGTCCAGAAGGGAGAAAGTGCATTTAATGTAGAAGTTTGGACCAGCGAGTTGAAAAGTTGATAAAAACATGCATGTAAAAACGTAACCGAATAAAAAAATTAACTATCAGCTCAATAGCCTCAATGGAAGAGTAAGCTAATAGGTTACTACTTAACATTTATTACTTATTTATTTACTTAATATTTAATCATTAGCATTATGATTCGGCACGCAATCGTGCAAGTACTTAATATCATTTCACATTGGCGTTGTAAATTAATAGGTGAATAATTTTCATGAATTTTCAGTTGATTTTAAGCTTCAAGCAATTGTTTCTTCTTCATTAGGAATCACAAGCGCAGTTATATTTTTGTTGTTATTGATAACTTTTTTAAACCAATAAACTTGATCTATTTCTGTAGTAAAACCTCACCGTGTGCCCATCTTACATAATTACTAATTAGAGTTACCACTCTAGTTAGTCATTATTAGAATGGTAACACTCTAATCTAGAGTGTCATTGAAAATACGCTCGGACAGTTAGAGTTGGCTGGAGGTGTTAGAGTTGGCTGAAGGTGTTAGAGTTGGCTGAAGGTGTTAGAGTTGACTGAAGGCGCTAGAGTTGGCTGAAGTGCTAGAGTTGGCTGAAGGTGTTAGAGTTGGCTGAAGGTGTTAGAGTTGGCTGAAGGTGTTAGAGTTGGCTGAATGTGTTAGAGTTGGCTGAAGGTGTTAGAGTTGGCTGAATGTGTTAGAGTTGGCTGAAGGTGTTGTATAGAGTTGGCTGAAGGTGTTAGAGTTTGCTGAAGGTGTTAGAGTTGGCTGAAGGTGTTATATAGAGTTGGCTGAAGGTGTTAGAGTTTGCTGTAGGTGTTAGAGTTGGCGGTAGATGTAAAGTTGGCGGTAGGTGATGGGGTTGACTGAAGGTGTTCTTTGCCATGAGCTTGACCAGAAGTTATTATGATATTTAGAGTGAATGTGTGCAATTTCATGACGTACACGAGAGAACGGATTAGGAGGGACTGGAACACGAACGTTTTGTTTTCTATTGATTTTCAGACAAAGGATTACTTAGACCGTTTAATCTTTAGTTGTTTTATAGTACTATAACCTACTTCAATGAAATTAGGAATAATAGAATCATCAGTTTTGAACGATAGAATTGCTTATAATGAACGATAGAAGCAACAATTAGGTATAACAGAACCACCAATTTTAGACAATAAAATTACCAATGAAAAACAGAGAATAAAAATGAACAATAGAACCTCTTATTATGAACAAAGAGTCACCAATTATGAACGAAAGAGTCATCAATTTCATAAAATAAATCGCCAATTGTGAACAATAGAATTAGAATGATTTTCCTATGCCGAAAATTTTACAGAGCCGACGAAATATAATTCAATTTTTGGAGCGCTATTTCCAGTTTTCCAATCCATCACTCTTCTAACTCCATTGGCCGAAGACTCGTCTTTGGTGGAAACATCATCATGGCTGGAAATTGAATGCCATTTTTAGATATTGAATCAGCTTTCAGCATTCCACCTTCCGTTGATACAAATGACGCTGATAAAGAACTTTGACTATTTTAGTTTGTCAGGATATGAGGCGAATGTTAAATAAAAGTATAGTTGAATAACCAAGACTAATTTGAACTGTTGATATATTAATTGACTAATGAATTGAGCATATGGATTGTTATTTCCAAGATTAAAATACAGTCTTCTCTGAATATTTTAATAATCTAGCACATAGGCCGCATATCGATGTAGATTTAGGTAAAAGAAAATTAGTTTCATAAGTGTTAGGTCAGGGTTTTTTGAGGGCTTGAATTTGAGCTCTTTGTAAATTTGTAATCTCCTTTAAGCATCAGAATAATATTTTCTATCGCTTTTTCGATTTTTTGCCAAGTAATTTTCCTTACCTATGTCTAATATTGTATCTCATTTTAAGCTTTTGACTTTCTTGTTCGAATGTAGCATACAAATGATGCGATTCAAAATCGCTGTTTACTGTTAACGAAGATTTTTTAACATCTACATTTTACGATATCGAGGGGGTTTTTAATAACAATATATTGGCTATCTTACCTAATTTTTGGCCATTCTCTCTCATAGAGATAAACATTATAATGAACGTTTCATATTTACTATGCAAAGAATCGTTGAAATTTTCAACTTCTTTCAGTTTCAAATAAATTTGTAATCGGTCATCTTCCTGCAAACCGCGGGTACTCTATCTATATTTTTTCATTCATCTTTAGAGATTAAACGAAAAAAGACTAAATTCTATGCTCACTACATTACTGCAGATAAGGTGCATGATCAGTATTCGATGATGTTAATGATAGGCTTCAGTGGAGATGCGAAAGTTATGAATCGTATTAGATTGATTCGGGGGACAAACAAATATATTTTTTAGGGTTACACTCAAACAATTGATAGGGTTTTAATGTCCAAATAGTGACACACTTCCTCAGCAGGGTAAGGAGTGCATCGATATTTTCAAGTCTCTTCAGTCTCCACTTTTCTGAGTCTATTTTCTGAGTCTCCACTGAGTCTCCAGTCTCCACGTTTATTGTATAGGGAAACTAATTTAAATATAGACCGAATTCCTTGTTAAAAAGTACTCCAGATAAACGTATTGTAAAATATTCTGGAAACTGGGTCACATCGCCATCCTGCTTAGAGATAGCATTTCCATGATAAATCATTTACTTTTTTTTTTGTTAAATCCTGACACTGAAAATCCCATTTTGTTAGAAACTTTTTCTTTGTGTTGCGCGGCGAATAAGTTATGTTGGGAAGAGAGTTTGACATCCTCGACATTAGGAATTTAAAAGCAAAAACAATACCACAAAAATTCACCATATCTTTATAAGAGAAAACGTTCCGTTTTTGCTTTTAAATTCCTAGTTAACTTGCGATTTAAGCAAACAAGTGATTTTAATACTTATATCCTCGACATTGTTGCGTCAGGCTACAGTGAGTTGCTGCAAAAGTTGAATTTTGCAGTTGAGTTGAATTTTGTTGTGCTGCAAAATTAAAAAAAAAGTTGGAATCGAAGTAGGTCAATGGGCTGTCTTGTGTTCAACAATGTTGGACCACTGCCTCGGTGCACGACAAATGGCAATGATTCCTACTTAATCTTGACGTGTGCCGCTGCTTTATAGCAGCTTTTATAATGCATTCGTTGCAAGTTAAGAATGAGAACAGGAATGTTGTTTGTTGCAGCTAGTGTTTCTGTTCTAACCTGGACTCGATATATGCAAATTAGCGTATTCGTGAAATGCTGGATTCATTTAGGTTAATTAGCGTATACGACGCTGGATTAGATTTATACTATTTAATTGCGTATACATAAAATGTTGAATTCAATTAAGGTCATTTCATTAGCGTTTTCATTCGGCGCTGCTTAGGATTCAGCTATTGTGTTAATGGAGCGATAAATTTGCGTTTGGTGAAATTTAAACCTTAGCTCGAAGTTTTGTAATAAAAAAATGATATGATGCTTTCCTTTTTTCAATGTTTGATTACTATACCGTAGTGTTTTTTTCAGAAATCACAATGGCAACAGTTTTAGTGAGGTTGTGTTTATATTTAATTAGGTATATTTCAATGGTCACATTAACTCACCACTTGATTCATACGAATGAATCAATCAATCAACAATCAATGAATCAATCAAAAAAAATGCTGGAATAAATTGAAATTGCCGTGATTAAGTCAACCTTCTTATTTCAATCGTACTCTTGATTCGCTACGACGTCGCTTGGTCTTCGACGGTCATTCTTCTCGCCACTTCACTCAAAAAATTATTGGGTCGTGTTGTCTAAAAAGCAACACACTTTCTACTCGTAGCTCTGATACTCGCTTAATTATGCCGGGTAATGGTGGTCATGATAGCCAAGAGTAAAAGGTGCATCGATATTTGAACAAAGTTCTCCATTTTCAGCTTGTTTTCTTGAGTGTTCCGGTAATAAAATCATGGCGGCAGACGCAACAGTTGGCTTCTAGCCCGAATTATTTGGGTCACAGTCCTGATTGTTCGAATCTAAACGCTCGTGACAAGGTCAAATTTTCCTCCTCATCACCGTAAAACTTTTGTGCCGCTCCCACCCAACCCGCAAATATAGCAAGACTTGCTCGGCTTTGTGTCTTTTTTCATTGAATTCGTCGAGGCTTTAAATTGCACTTAACTTTTCTAAAATAGAATCGAGGTTTAATGGATTGGATATTTTACAGAGCAGCGCTGAACATCAGCTGAGTTTTAGATGAATTCTTTGGAACCTCTTAATAGTTTTTATCAATGATGAGGCTGATTAAATACGAAATTAATGAAGAATTCGATTACCAGATATCTCGATAAATGTCATTTCGTAGGGTCGTGACTAAATCTGTCTCAATAATTTCAAATGATATGAAATGACATTAAGGCCTGAGAACATTTTATCAACCTAATAATAGAATGACTTAGGTTTTATTTATTTTACCTCATCTCTGTTTCTTTATTTTACAAAATGAAGTTTTTCATCGCCATTTCAGCATTGCCGTTTCAGCTTGAGTTGGAGTTATAGTTTATTCTCCTCGTCCAATTATTGACATTTTGATGTTTTCAGGATAAATTTTGAAAGTGGTAAATAAATTCCTAGATATATCTCCAAATAATCTCTTTAGGATACAAATTTCATTTGATCGATGACAAGCAATAGAATTTAAGGGCGACATCCACCCTCAAAAGTGTGGGCAATTCCCGTATAAAACCTGATTATTGAGTGGAAAATTTATATAGATAAAAATATGCATATGTATTAAAAATACATTGGACTTCTTTTAGAGATTGAACGAAGGGAAAAAAACATGATTTGCGAATCTTCTGTGCCGATTTTAGACTCGCATCGTTCATCTCTGAATCCTAAACGGAACTGCTACAATGATCTCCCAGACGTCGAAGAATCTGTACGCTCGAGTGATTGTTTTGACGGGAAACCCTGTGAAGCTTTCACGAACAAAGCCCCGGAACGGATAAAAGTTTGTGCGCTCTCGGGAGAGGAAGCTATGAGCATCGATGGAATAAGTGATACCGGAGAAACTCCTGGGAAATCTGCAACATCGGACAAGAATTCTATGGATGTTGTCAAGACTTACAGCTGCCACGGCTGTCGCTGGGTCTGGGTTAAAGCTGTTATCAGGTGGAAGCGGGGAGCTGTGAGGAACAGAATTGGTGATTCGACACGTCGGGCTTGTCGACCCAGTGAATGTAATTGTTCTACAGCCTTCGATAAGAACGACAGGTGCAGCTGTTCCTTGAATGAACAAAATACCACAGCTCAGGAGAGCACAATACACCGTAAGGACAATACAGAAATGCACACTAGCAGTGTTGTAGGTGAAGCTAGCGGAAATACTTCACTTGATCAAGGAAATTGTGAAGATATGAACGACGATATTTCGTGTGAACTTATATCAGATGATCAAGGAGAAGGAAGCTACAATGATGATAATTCTAACCAAGCAACTGGCTTGGTAAATACGGATGCCTGTATCCAGACCGAGGTCGCAACTTCATCAGACCCTGATATATCGCTGGACACAAATTGCCGTCGCATTCTATTTAAATCTAGAGCTTGTTCGCTCTTCTCTAATTTAGCAGAGCTAAATTTCATACAAAAGTTGCAGTGCAACGCCCCTGAAGAAATAGTCGTACCCGGCTCAACAGGTCACGACAGTTCTGTGAGCACCAACGGAAGTTTTGGTCCAGTTCTGAAACGACGTCGCTCAAGTTCTAATTTAACTTGTAATCCCGTATCGCGACTAATGAACGCTCGCGGTAAGCCATCAAAATCCCACATTACAAAATCTGGTAATTTATTTTGGCTGCAGTCATCTCGAAATGCTAATGACTCTCGCAAAAACTCGCGCAACAAAAACCTCAGCATTAAATCGCTTAAGTCGGGAACGAATAGCTCGAGGGGTTCAACTGATGGCGACTCGTCGAGTGAGAGGAAGAGAAAAGACGTGCCCGTTAGGCGTCACTCACTGCTTGATTTTGTTATCGTCACTCGCCACGCTTTTACTGATGTTTTACCCACCGTTTATTGGACCAACTTGGTAAGTAATTGATTGCATGTGCTACTTATGTTGTTTAATTATTTAGCGGCTTCTACTGATGTTTTACCCACCGTTTATTGGACCAACTTGGTAAGTAATTGATGCATGCGCTACTTATATTGTTCAATTGTTTAGTGCTGGAGTTGAAAATTCAATTTCAGGTTATAGTCAAATACTGACTGAGCCAGAGTTCGATTTGCCTAAGTATGAAGTCATTACGTCGCTTAGGATTTTTTTCCAGGAACATAAAATTGAAAACATAATTGATATTTGTTACTTCTAAATTGAAATCTATGTAGTTACGTTTTTGGCACTCGTTTATTTTGTGAATGAAATCAAATTTCAGGTTTGTTTTGTACTTCGTGCTTGTATACGAGTATTGGAATAATGATTAGAATGAGTGATGGTACGATAGGTTCGCAGAAGAATAAAACAAATCGTAGTATTAGCTTTGATTGTTGTCATCTAATATGCAGACCGCAATAGGAAAGTATTTCCGAAATCTAAATGAAGTTAGTGAAACGGACAATTGATAATAACAAACAAAATTATTATATTACGTGACTATATTTTTCGCCAAATTGAAGATTCAGTTTCGCACTAATATGTTGGTTTGAGTCTCTCCCGGATTATATGTTAGTTAAATCAATACCCTTCCTGAAGTTGATCTCCGGATAACTTAAACGATATTCCAAACAGAGCAGCGTCGCCAGTCTTCCTTAATTATTGACAGATTCTCTTGTATTTTTAAAGTTTAAATGTTCATACACCGCTGAAATATTAACAAAAAACCGCTGTGCAGGTATGGCAAAACGGTCAGAGTTAATTAAAGCTTTACTTACACATTTGATGATAAAGCAAGCATTTCATGACCAAAATTAACAGTGCAATTAAGATGTCATTTAACTATTTGCGATTTTCCCCTTGTCTTTCGCGAAAAGAAAGACTTACTGTTTCTAGTAAGTCGTCGGTCACAATTACTGGCATTGTTTTCAAATGAACATATTTCTCGAGACCCAAAGTGCGTAAGTAAATGGAGAATTTTCACGTGAAACATCATTAAAATTTTTACATTTCTCCGAAGACTAAGAAAATGTTCAACATAAAGCGTTAATTATTCAATCAAATCCTATTGGTCAACAGCTTCCCTTGATTACTGAATAGAATTAAAGGTTTATTTTAAACAATGGACCAAATTTAATGTATTCGTATATATTCAAGTAATTATAACGTAACTATAGTTAAAGTATTGTTATCCGCACTTAGTTACTATAAACAATCTTCTATTATGAGCGAGAAATCTCTTCTACCAGTGCAACCATTTATACCAATATTTTTCTTTTTAGCGCATTTTCTCATTTATGGAAAAATGCACTATTGTGCTCGCCTTGTCCGTCCGTCCGTCTGTCCGTCAGTCCGTCCGTGACTTCACGTTTTTGTCGGCGAGAAAATGCGCTCTCTGTCACTCACTGCAGCTAGTGAGTACTGAGTTATATATTTTTTCACAAAAAATACTAATTTAAAAAGTGTTCCGAATCCATTGCACGCTTGTCTCGCTCTATAATTTTTATTAAAAAGCAAGAATGACGCCCAGCGACACTCACCTGACGCTGTTTGCGAGAGCCTCCACTGCAATCCCCTTAATTGTACCTTTGATCCACACCAGCCCTATAGGAGGTCTCCTTTTCTCTCTGGAAATTGAAAGCGTGTCGAACTTGTTTACTTCGACTTCCGACGCTCGAATTCTGTGATGATGTTGGGAATTGCTTCTTTGACTTGATCTCATGATTGCATGAGTCATCGGGAGCATTTGGTGATTTTCGATGGTATTGATTGAATCTAATTTCTCACTTCTTTTGTTAATAGTTGCATCTGATGAGATGTAATTTTTTAGCATTTTATACCTGCAATTATGAGCTAGATAAAATTTTGAAATTTGAATTTATTTTTAGGAAGTATTTCGAAGAATAAGCCCAACAAGAGGGTTCAGGTAGTCTGCTACCAAGTTTCAATCGTCGGTTCACTAAACTGATGAAATAGTCAAATTTTACATTAAGTTTTGATCGACGCTTCTCTCGATTTTAAAATAATTGAAAATTTGCAAATTTTTGCCGAGTCGTTATCAGAACAATGAGTTGTTAGAAATTGGACAATGATAGTAACACCAATTACCGCTGTGAAAAATATGTGAAACATTTTTTGTGAGACAAGCCCATGCATTTGAATTGGAAACCACCACTCACCTGATGCCTGTTGTGAAATTTGAAACCATCTCAAGCCTTATAACCGTCCCGAGCAAATCGTTAATTTTGGAAACGTAACTCGTCCCAAACCTACTGTTTACTTCTAATATCCAGCATCTCGAAAATTAAGAAAACCCTCTTTGTTTGAAATTGAACTGGGTTAAGATTTATTCTGATCATCTTATGGCCAAAATAAATAACTTTTTCGTTGTAAACAATTTTTTACGCTCGTAGAAATTCTCAAACAAAACAATCGAAACCTTCCGTGGAATGAAATATGCTATCTAAGATACATGCCGAATGGGCATTAAAATTGAATGTTGAGCAAATTCAAGAAGGATTTGTATAATATGCATATACATATATGTCATTATTTAACCACTAGAACCTCTTGTATATAAAAGTTTTTAAAATACTGTTAAAATACTACACTTCTCCAAATTACCGCTTTCAATCCTGTCCATCATAAACTACTGCCATCCGAAATTCGTAGGAACAATCCCCTTCTATTCTACTTTCGTTGACTTAAATGGAAACGCCGGGAGGATATCACCACCTGATGCAATTATAAAATCATTTCCATTGGCTTGTCTTTTTGCGTGCCAGTAAATTGGACCGAAAGTGGATGCAAACTTCAAAAGCGTGCCTTTTCCGTTGATATTTCTATTTTGATTCTAGAGCCAATAAATTGAAATGCTTGTTAGTTCAGAGCAAATTGGGATGTCGTGTAATTGAGTCTCGTGTTGTTAAAAGGAAAATAATACCACTTGGTAGTTTTACTCGCAATTCTATACGTACTAATTTCAAATATAATCGAAAATACTTTAATAAATATAATTTCCATTGCAATTAGGATGCGTGATTTCATAACATAATAGTTAAGTTTCACTACTCAGTAATTTTCTTTGAATATCTAGTTAGTATGAGCAGAAAAGTTATGAATTTTTCAGCAATATTTGTGAGAAAATGTTTTCCCAGCACCGTTCTGAAGTTGCCAACTACTATTTATAAGAAAAATTCAACAGCGGTTGATGACTTGCTCGATGAAAATTCAACAGTTGATGAATTTCTTCATACTTTGCCAAAGTGCCGTCAAATGCAGTGACAGCTCACGTATTAGTGACGGAAATTACGAATCTGTTGGTTTTTCTCGTAAAGCTGGAGCATCCGCGTGCTCGACGCTGTCACATCGCTAAGCGACTCGTCAGTTTTTGACTACTGCATCGTGTCGTAAATAGTTTTGAAAACGACGTTAGTTATTTATTTTTATTTTATATTCAGCTTTCACATGAGCGTTAAATTAAATATTAAATCAAAAACATATGTCCTCAATTGATGCCGATGTGTTACTGAATTGACATAAAATCTCTAAACTGTAAATTATCTTAAGCAAAACAATGCCAAACTGCATCAAGGTTAGTCAGCAATGTGATGCATTCAACCGTTGTAACTAGACATTTATTTTTATATTGAGCAATATCGTATTATTATTTGATGCTTCTTTCAAGGCCAAGAATAACAAATACTCTATGGCTTCCTAGCTAGAGGCTTAAATCATGTAATTTCGGCCGGGTAATGGGCATAATTTTTATAAAGCTTTTTTTTCGTTTATACAGTTTCTTGAGAAACTGCATTTTCGCCAACTTGAAAAATACTCTACCTAGATACTTCAGTCTATAATTTTTCAAGTTTTGTTTTCAAGCTCCTGAAATTGATCAGTTGCAGAGCAAAAATAAGGCAAAGTTCATTTCAATTCAGGTTGGGTCACTGCATTCATTTGGAGCCATGCGCTGGTATAAAATATTACGAGCTTCTGAGAATCCCTTGTTATATTTAAAAAAAATTGTTTCGTTGTTTCGCTTTTGACTTTGATTTTTATTTGGCAGTGTTAGATTTTTATTTGTTCTTGGTTTTCCAATATTTTTCTTTGTAAGTAAGAGTCATGGAATATTCCTCTTCACAATCGTCAAATGCAGTCTCACCCTCGAGCGTCTCGCACTTATTTGTGCTAAAACCGCGTTTATATATTTTTACATAGCTATATTTATGTATAGCTGTGTATATGCATAGTTGTAGCCTATCAATTGATTTTATAATTTAAAATTGGTTAAAATTAATTTATTTCATCCCCCTAGGCAAATAACGTTGAAACAACATTGATTATGAGGTATTTGGTATTTTAACCGAAACGGTTTTTCAAACGAAACTGTTTAAATACAGTTTCGTCTACGTTTCTTCAACGTAAGATTACTTGTGGGCCCAATTAAATGAGCTTCTATCTATTGTTTATTCCGAGCGCGAAAATTCACGGAGCATGTTTTAAAATATTTCAATTTCAAACGATATACGTATATGACTTGAAATTTTGAAGCCGTTCAAAAAATATCTTGGTATTCTTTGCATTCGTTTCACAACACATCATGTCGTGAAATAGTTTTGAAAACGACCTCAGTTATTCGTTTTCATTTTATATTCAGCTTTCGTAGGAGCGTTAAATTAGATAAAAAAAATAATTGGTTAAATTAAGAATTGCGTCGTAAAATATTTAACATGTGCTTTGATAATTGTAAGCATTTTATAATTACATTCGTTACCATTTCGATAGCAGCATGTTCTTGAAATGAATGTTGAAGTTTTGGATGAATATTTGAATTTTTGAAAGATTAATACGGCAAGTTTAATTTCAAGTTTTTCGCTTTCTCTCAGCAAAGTTTTTAACGCCGTTAGTAGAGCTGAAATATTCGCATTCTTTTCAATTTTAAGCATAAATACTGCCACGCGAAATTTTCATTTTAAATTTTATGCCAAGTGCAGAGGTATTTAACTTGAAGGATTTACCCAAACAAA